AGGCTTTTAACTACAGTTTGTGGACTTCCTGATAGTAAAGAATTACAATAGTCCAGCCTTGAAGTAACAAATGCATGGACTAGTTTCTCAGCATCACCCCTGGACAGGATATTTCTAATTTTTGCAATGTTCCTCAGATGAAAGAAGGAAATTCTAGAAACCTCTTTGATCTGGGATTTAAATGACAGGTCCTGATCAAAAACAACACCAAGATTTTTCACTTTATTATCTGAAATCAGTTTAATCCCATCCAGATGAAGTGACTGGCTAATCAGCTTCTTTTTCAGAGACTCTGGTCCAAAGACTATAACTTCTGTTTTGTCTGCATTCAGAAGCAGAAAGTTAAGAGTCATCCAGGTTTTTATGTCTTCAAGACATGCCTGTAATCTATGTAATGGGTTAGCTTCATCTGGTCACTTACCTGTGTTTCTTTCCTCCAGTTAGAGTCAGTGATGGGGCAGTGCCCCGCCCCCCTTCTGGAGCCGCTGTGGGCCGCAGATCCACAGCAGCACTCTTCTGTTCTGTCTGTTTGTGTTTTTATTTTAATAAAAGATTTGAACATTCCTGATGACTGTCTCACCTTGAATACTGGGTCCATCTGTCCCGTTTTATGACAGAGAGAGCTTTTTCAGCTTTCCACTTCTAAAGCCAAGTGGCGTTGGGGTCTGTCCTGATACATCGCATCATTCTTTCTGCTGATTGGACTGAGTGCCGTGATGTTTGAGGAAACAGCTCTTTCATTCCAGATCCTTCAAAGATGATTTGGTCTTTGGGTGTACTGGTTGTGGGAGAAGATGGAAATTTCTGGAACAAAAGGTTTTGTTTCGGCCGCAACTACTGAGGGGGGGGGGGGGAGGTGGGGGGGGGGATGGGTTGGGTTTGTGTGTGACTCAGGGCTTCATCAAGTTGATTCTTTAGCAATGTTGCAGCAAAACGTATGGATGATGGATGGATGATGGATGGATGGATGGATGGATGGATGGATGGATGATGGATGGATGGATGGATGGATGGATGGATGGATGGATGGATGGATGATGGATGAATGGATGGATGGATGGATGGATGGATGGATGGATGGATGATGGATGGATGGATGGATGGATGGATGGATGGATGGATGGATGATGGATGGATGGATGGATGGATGGATGGATGGATGATGGATGGATGATGGATGGATGGATGGATGGATGGATGGATGATGGATGGATGGATGGATGGATGGATGATGGATGAATGGATGGATGGATGGATGGATGGATGGATGGATGGATGATGGATGGATGGATGGATGGATGGATGGATGGATGATGGATGGATGGATGGATGGATGGATGGATGGATGATGGATGGATGGATGGATGGATGGATGGATGGATGGATGATGGATGGATGGATGGATGGATGGATGGATGGATGGATGGATGTATGGATGATGGATGGATGATGGATGGATGGATGGATGGATGGATGGATGATGGATGGATGATGGATGGATGGATGGATGGATGGATGGATGGATGGATGGATGATGGATGAATGGATGGATGGATGGATGGATGGATGGATGGATGGATGGATGGATGGATGGATGGATGGATGATGGATGGATGGATGGATGGATGATGGATGGATGGATGGATGGATGGATGATGGATGATGGATGATGGATGGATGGATGGATGGATGGATGGATGGATGGATGGATGGATGGATGATGGATGGATGGATGGATGGATGATGGATGGATGGATGGATGGATGGATGATGGATGGATGATGGATGGATGGATGGATGGATGATGGATGGATGGATGGATGGATGGATGATGGATGATGGATGATGGATGGATGGATGGATGGATGGATGGATGGATGGATGGATGGATGGATGATGGATGGATGGATGATGGATGATGGATGGATGGATGGATGGATGATGGATGGATGGATGATGGATGATGGATGGATGGATGGATGGATGGATGGATGGATGGATGGATGGATGATGGATGGATGGATGGATGGATGATGAATGGATGGATGGATGGATGATGAATGATGGATGGATGGATGGATGGATGGATGGATGGATGGATGGATGGATGGATGGATGGATGATGGATGGATGGATGATGGATGGATGGATGGATGGATGATGAATGGATGGATGGATGGATGGATGGATGGATGGATGATGGATGGATGGATGGATGGATGATGGATGGATGGATGGATGGATGGATGATGGATGATGGATGATGGATGGATGGATGGATGGATGGATGGATGGATGGATGGATGGATGGATGATGGATGGATGGATGATGGATGATGGATGGATGGATGGATGGATGATGGATGGATGGATGATGGATGATGGATGGATGGATGGATGGATGGATGATGGATGATGGATGGATGGATGATGGATGGATGATGGATGGATGGATGATGGATGGATGGATGATGGATGATGGATGATGGATGATGGATGGATGGATGGATGGATGGATGGATGATGGATGGATGGATGGATGATGGATGGATGGATGGATGGATGATGGATGATGATGGATGGATGATGGATGGATGGATGGATGGATGGATGATGGATGGATGGATGATGGATGATGGATGGATGGATGGATGGATGGATGATGGATGGATGATGGATGATGGATGATGGATGGATGGATGGATGGATGATGGATGATGGATGGATGGATGGATGGATGGATGGATGGATGGATGATGGATGGATGGATGATGGATGATGGATGATGGATGGATGGATGGATGGATGGATGGATGATGGATGGATGGATGGATGGATGGATGGATGATGGATGGATGGATGGATGGATGATGGATGATGGATGGATGGATGATGGATGGATGGATGGATGGATGATGGATGGATGGATGATGGATGATGGATGATGGATGATGGATGATGGATGATGGATGGATGGATGATGGATGATGGATGATGGATGGATGGATGATGGATGGATGGATGGATGGATGGATGATGGATGGATGATGGATGATGGATGATGGATGATGGATGATGGATGGATGGATGGATGGATGGATGGATGGATGGATGGATGATGGATGATGGATGGATGGATGGATGGATGGATGATGGATGGATGGATGGATGGATGGATGATGGATGATGGATGGATGGATGGATGGATGGATGGATGGATGGATGGATGGATGGATGATGGATGGATGGATGGATGGATGGATGATGATGGATGGATGGATGATGATGGATGGATGATGGATGGATGGATGGATGATGGATGATGGATGGATGGATGGATGGATGGATGGATGGATGGATGGATGGATGATGGATGGATGATGGATGGATGGATGATGAATGGATGGATGATGGATGGATGGATGGATGATGGATGATGGATGGATGGATGGATGGATG